CTTCTCCTTCTAAATAAAAGCTGGGGGGTGCCTGTTTGGAAAGCAGGAAATTTCAGTTCCTCAGCTCCTCCAGTCACCATGCTGTGAAAACGTGCCCTGCTGCTCCAGCTGAAGTGATTCACTGCACTACTCCCGGGCAGGCTTTGTGGAGCTAGAGATGGCTCTGTAGCCTGGTTCCCATCCCCAACATCAAGCAGAATCCACACTTTTCTGTCAGCTTTATTCATTCATATATTATTGAGTGAAGAACATTTCCAATAGGCTTTAAAACAGGAACAACATACATGTAGACCTTCATCCTTGTGCACTGTCCTCTGGGCAAGTGCACAAACTACAGCAGAAGCCTATTCAATTTTAATGATTTTCTGCACATTTTTAAGAGGATAGATTTTTCTTTCTGCTTAGATCATGATGTGGCAGTTAGCACTTTCTTTGATGTATTTAGGCTCCTGCAGGTAAGGCACTGAAAAGTTTTCCACTTCCTACAGCAATGGTCTTACCTGCTAAGTGATTATAATGTAAGTAGTGGCTGTGCTCCTGTTCCACTTAAGGAGTTATGCCAAAGAGCTCTGAGGTAAGGCAGAAAGCATTGAAGGAGGCACACTCCCAGGGAGAAGAAGATTTCTAGGGAAGCGGTGTAGAGAACCAGATCAGGTGCTTGGATGATTGCTCCATGTGGCTGGCAGGAGGAAAGCCCCGTAGCAGCAAGTGCTGTTCCTTCCTACCTCCAGTTCACTCAGCATAAACACCATTCAAAAGTGTCACCTGTCACTGCTCTGTCAAGTGCAGGCTGAATTCAGGATTTCAACTCCGAACTAGCACTGTAACAGGAGCAGGGAATGCCTTGTGCTGATCAGAATGAAATGTCTGTGTTCAAAGAAAGTGCATCATATTTAAACACAAAATCCAAGGGGTAAGGTCATTAGTGGCAAGACAGTTTTTTTTTGTCTTTTGTTTGTTTTTGTTTTTTTTTTTTTCTGAGAAAAATTCTGGAGAAACCTAATAGGCCTACAGCAAGTCTTTCCCCCCTACACACACAAAAACATTACCAGGGTGCTTTCATGTTGCTCCTTGCCTCCCCACACATAGACTTTAAAATTTACCAACTCCCTTTTGTGGCAAAACTCAGGGAAAATAAGCCACCTTTGAAAAGCACTACAAGGGAGGATAGAAAGGAAAGAAAAAACAGCCTTATGTTTTCAAACTAATGATGTGGGAGTTAGAATGGAACATTAAGACTTTCCCAGGAATCCCTAAAGAACTGTTATATATTATTTTAGGACTAAACTCAATCCATATTGGAGTCACAGAATTGCTTTTGAATTGTTGGGTAATACTCGTGGATTGGATGACTTTCTTAAACTCAGATGTAAATAAGAGTTTTCATCTCTTTGGGAGGTATATTTTGCTGTTAAATACATAGCAGAGTAAGTGCAAGAGAGGTTAAGGAGTCCTTCCCAGATTACAAACCCAACATTCTGGGTTGCAAGCAGGCAATAAATAAGATAACTCCATCACACCCTGTTCTCTGTCTACCACTTCTACTTTTTCCTCTGAATTTTAGTAACGTGATATCTTGCACCCCATCTGTGTGAGTGGTGGTTAGAAAGGGTGTTTTTTTTTTGAGGACTGTGTTTGGCAAGTAGGATAGAGGCTTCCTGGTTCTCTATGAGTAGGAGAATTCATACCTGAAAGAATATGGGAAGAAAATAACTTTCGAATCTCAGGAATCTCTTCTGGCTTTGTGCCCTACTGCAGAATCACCTGCATGAGGACATACTGAGACTCATTTTGACATGTTTTTGTAGCTAGAAACACTTGAAATGTGAGTGTCCAAGGTAGTTGATGCTTCTGCTTGGCTCTGATGACCTTTTCTGTTCCCATGGGTTCTTGTTCAACCTCTGCCTCCACAGAACGCAGGCAACTCTCACCATGCTGGTACTTAGCAGTACCTGTGGAGAGTAGACAGCTGTAGAACTATTGATAAATGACCTTAAGCATGCTTTTGCATGACCTGCATGGAATTTTGGAGACAAATCTCAAAATAAAATAAGATTTCTTTTAGTTTCCTATATTTTTCACTACATAGCCTTGAATTCCATACATATTTTGTGGCTGGCAGAGTGGCAAGGAAAGGTGGGGTAGATTTTTGTGAAAAATGCCATACATCTGTGCTCAAACTGCTGTGTAATGGGACAGATAGATTTTTGGTAGCGTAGATCCTCTATGTATGAACTTACACTTGAGTATCTTAAACACAGGGGTTTTGAAAACTCCTTTCACTGAGATACAAACTAAAAGCACTTCCCTTGCACTGGGGGCAGGTTAAGAATGCTCATACAAAAAAGTACAAAGCCTTATCTGTAACTTGTCTTGCTAACAGGAATTGGCAATGTTTGATACGGGCTGCAGCCTAAAATAGCCAAATAAGAATCATGCACCCAAAGAAAGAGCAATTTAATAAAAAGGTATGTTGCTATGTTGCTAAGAGCACAGACCTGAGACCATTAACTGTTCAAATATAGGAGAAGAGAAGACAGGTTAGACAAATATTTTAAATATTGGATAACTGTATTTCTGAAGATTGCAAAAACAAAAGTACATATTTCAAAGGTAAGAGCACCATACTCCTAAGGACTTCAGGACCAGTCAAGTATGGAGAAAGTATGGAGGAGTAGATGGAGAGGGAATAAAAATAAAAAATAAAAATTAAACTAGACTTCACAACATCTAAAGGCACCAGCATTCTTCTCAGGAAATGTAATATTTTTCCTAGCTGAAAATTTATGCAACAGGTCAAATATATGTTGGCCTCGTTTTCTTTGATGGCAGGTTTTATAGATCAGATATCAGAGCCTTAGCATGGACAGCTCATGCAAAGACTCTAAGCCTGTTTAAAAATGGTGGCCCAAGAGAAATGAACTGGAAATGGAGTAACTCCCTAATGATGAATTTCAGGGGTTTTCTGTTTTATATAGCTAATAAAGGTCAAACATCTGAAAACATGGACTAGGCTACATATGAAACTGTAACAAGAAGGAAATTAGCTGAGTTTCTCAGAGGAAAACAAAAGTGGAGGCAGAAGTACATTAACGCTGGAGATTGAAGAAATGAGAGCTTTGCATAAAAATGGTTTATACGTTTATTTAAACACCTCTCACTTCCTTCTGTTATTAAAGAAAATTATGAAGGCACACAGCAGGTTGAAATGAAGATAGAGGAGTGTGAAAATAAGGCTAGTGAGCTCCTCACCTACAGATAGAAAGTGGGAAAATGTCTATTTGCAGATGATAAAAATAATAATAATAAAAAAGAAGTGTGATGAGGCTAAGGACCAGAGATATTGTTGAAGGATCCACCAGGTTTTACCTCAGTTTCATGGTCTCAGCTGGAGGGATACTATGGACAAAACTGCAGAATTACAGATGAATGATTTTAGCATGCCTTGGCTAAATATGGACCAGTTAGGTCCTGACTTAAAATAAACAAAAGGAAAAGAAGAGGCTATAGAAGTAATGAAATTAATGCTGACATAACACACCCCAAAATGAAATAGGAAGCTCATATGATAGAGTGCACCAGATTTTTTGAGAGAATAGAAAGATTTTCCTAATAATAACAAGATCGGATAAAATAGTAATACCAAAAACATTTTGAAACATTGGCTGATTTAAATTTCTTTTTGCATATTATATTTTCTAGGACTGTAACAAAAATAATTAAAAGACTGCTCACATAATAAACCTGAACAATTAGAATAATACCGTGCGTACATTCACAGGTCATATAGATAGCCGATGTTAACAGATGCCTTAGTTTTAGTCTGAATGCCAAGTGTATTTATCAATTAGTGAAGCGGTCTTTTTAACAAGCACACAGAAATGAGAAGTAGGACACTCAGATTATCTGTGTCATTTCTTCTCATTTACAATAAGGGAAATATTTTAAAAGAAACGTAAATGCTGATATGATTTTGAGAAATCAGTATCAGACAACTCTGGCAGGAATATCCCACACTGGTGGTATTTTGAAGGAAAGCAAATCAAATTCATTAACAAAAATGGAATACAGACCTTTTTATCAATAGCAAAAAGCATGACAACTTTAACGTGGAAATAACTGAGCCATTTAATGCTATAGATACTGTTTTAAGGATCTGAAAAAAATAAATACACTTACACATATTTAATGTTGGCACTACTGCTAGAAGAGTATGTCTGCTATTACCGGCAAAATAGAGTTGTAAGAATTTTCTTCAAAATTTTAGGGTCTACAGGTATAAATAGGTTCAATAGATTTAAAACCAGTAATAGAAGAAGTGTTATAACAGTTCTAATACTTTAAGTTATAGCTGAAAATCTAACAAAATGACATCTTTCATAGTAATGAAAGTTTTTATTTTCTTCTTTTATTATGACATGAGGTTTTATTTGTGCTTTGGAACTAGCCAAGTAAATTCCAGGTTCTGAAATTTTTTGGATTATTTTAATTCTGTTAGGGAAAACAGGTAATTCTATGCCCATATAAATATATTTACTGCTAAAAATAAAGGTGTTATTTGACATTGGTCAGAAAGCATTAATTCATTTTTTAAGACACCAAGCAATCATGACATAACTTACAGTCACAAACCTCATGAAATAAAGGGAGGAACATTCTTTACTTGTCCCATGTCTTTTCCACTGCCTGTAGAGTTAATGTTCTGCTTCTGGCACACAGTTAATTCTAATAAAGAAACAGGAACTTGGGAAGCACACAGATGGCCACATACTATAAATTATGTGGTTGTCTTATGTGGGTGGTATTTAAAACATTGCTTCTTCACTCCCTCATATCAAGCCTGAAATCTGAAGGAACTTGGTGCTTGATAAGGCTTTTACATTTTCTATTTTTAATGTATGTGTGCAAGTCTTGTCAAGTAGGAAAATTTTTAGGTAACAATCTAACTATCTCTCTAAATCTAAAATGCTTTTCATTAATGATGATCCTGTTCTCTCCAGAGGAATGCTCCACACAGGAAGGATACAAGAAAAAGATCAAATCCAACAAGAAAAAGGCGCGTACAAGTATGACTGAAGTGATTTAGAAAAAGAACTATTACCCAGGTCCACTGCTGGACATACCTCTGAAAGAGGTAGCTTTGGAAGCTGGTCACCTGAAGACAGTGAGAAAAAGGATGTGAGAAAGGAAGGACCTGATCACCCATCAGATGGAATCCAGACGTGACAATTAGAGTTAATGAACCATGACCCATGAAGCTGTTTCAGCACCTTTTTACAACCCCACTTCATGGCCTTAATAAAACTTCCAAGGCTTTTTTTTTTTTTACAAAGCACATCTGCTCTACATACTAAGGGGAGAAACTAGATTCAGAAGTTATGTATAAAGTATACTTAAGATCCGTGTGTTTACTCCTCTATCTGTTAAGTCAACTGAACATCAGAAGATACTATTTCTACAAGACTGTATAGCATTATTATAGTAGTTATTTAATTTACATTAACATTAATAAGCTGCTAAAGCTGACTGAAAAGTACCAGGCAAATATTTTTAAGTTAACCACTATAATGGCATCTATGTTCATATACTGGTTTTGACCCCAGATATTTAGAAAGCTAATAAGATGTCTTAAGAAAATTAGGTTGATTGATTTGCTGCTTTTGAAAGGTGCCTAACTCAACCTTGATACTAAGTCCTCCATTTCTTCACAGACACAAAACATTTCTGCAGTTTTGGGATCCCATCCATTTCCTGTAGGTCTCAAGCACAAGTATTACACCAGCACTGCTGCTTCTGTGCATAATTAAAATTAGCAAAGGGAAGCACAAAGTAGTTCATGAGGAGCTCTGGTTGGGCTCTAAGTTTTAATATACACAGGGAAGGAGAACTTGCTTAGTTTCCCACCACAGTGATGAGTAAAAATATCAAGAAATTGACCTTGTTGTACAGCAAATCTTAAGATGGCAGTTGTAGAGCAGCTTAATTATGATGCATCATTTTCAGACTGTCAGTGTTTTTTAGGGTAGTAAGGAGAATGCCTTATTCTGTCAGATAACTAACACTAACTCCAAATTCCTGTTTGATCCCATATCACACTTTTTTTTTCTTTTTTCTTTTTCCTAGAAAAGGGACTAAGTTCCTTTCAGAACCTCTCAACAGTTTCCCCAAATCACCAGAATCCATGTACTTGGTCTTCTGCTAGTACATGGAATGGAGGATTGAAATAGGGCCAAACAATTCTTGTTTTTTTCATACCAGGCATTCCTTTCCCTGGCCTCCTCCTAAGATATTTAGCAATTATGCAAGTCTGTATGCAAGTCAATATGCAACATTCTCCCTACCTATGGCAGAGAGCTCCAAATCTCACTGAATGCTGAGCTCCCTACCTTCTCCAGTGACACTGCCACACTTCATCCCTAGCTACTTTCCTGCTGTCTCCTGCCTCCCCTACTTGTCCTCTCCACCAACAGGGATCATGAAACAGTGGGAGTGACAGAAAGGTAAAATCTCAAGAATTACAATTTACTTAATCTTTCAAAATTAAATTCACTCTCTCCTTCTAGACCAATTGTATAGGTGAAACTGTTACACTTCCCCTCCCACCCCTCATTTGATATTAATCAGTAATTTAGAAAAAATAATCAGGTTGCATATTAATCCATGACCAAATCAATGCTAGATCCATTTCCTGGAAGGATAATGTAATGTTTTGTCACAACTTCATTTGTCATCCCAAGGTTTGATAAGTATTCAGCTTGTGCTAACACAAAAAAGGTTTCCCCCAAACAAATCAATTCACTATGAAAACCGATGCCTAAATTACAACTGCTTTTTGGTAGTGGTAGTCTATTCCAGGGATACTTTTCTAGTGGCCTTGGTCAGAAATACGCAAAGGCAAGATACTTGGTGCAGAGCAGGAAGCTCACAAAAGCTTGAAGGCAGTGTCTTGTGGCAAGCTGCATCCCAGTTCCATCTTCTCACTGTGTTAGAAAGTGATCGGTTATGTCTGGGAAAGAAAAAGGCATCTCAGCCACTGGTACCCCTTTCACTCTGAACGTAAAGAAAAACATAATTCAGAAGTTAGAGTCCAGTTTGATCTTGCAGTGGGAAATGTCTGTGGTATGTGCAGGACCTCATTGGGAGTGTCTGCCTCTCATGGGAAGTGGCTCATAGATCTTCTTCTTAACTCAGGTTGTACTCACACATTCCACTTTTTTATTAGTAGTACTTCACACTCTTTACTGATACCCAGGCTTGCTCAAGCTGAATTACAAGAAATTGCTATTACTGTCACCAGTTACCTTCTTACAGTGAAATCACTTTCAGGAAAATAAAAAAAAAAAAGGAATGTTGCTGTCTTCTGTTCTCCTAGTATGGGCATGTGGATAAATTAAATGATACTTATGTCTTTCTGTAAGGAGATTCAAAATTTTTCTCTAAAAAAAAGATGATCGGAAGGACAGAGAAGGAAAAAGCATGGTAAAATGCCTGATATGAAGTTATTTGACTGAAGATGAATGGTAGAGGAATGTTATAAAATCTCTCCATATCTTAATCAACAGTTTAAATAATAAAACACTTCATTTTATTCTAGGAAGTCTTTTCAACACACACACAAAAAAATGTTGCATGGTATTTTAAATGGCCTGGGGACTATAAACTGTCTCCTCCAGTACACACATTATTGCTACAATAAGTTTATCTTTATCTTTTTTTTTTTTTTTTCCCCACTTCATTAACGTCCCAAGGGCTCAGTAAATGTTACTGGTATTGAAAACACTGTCAAACAGGTGAAATAAAATAAAAGGGGAAATTAATTTTTAAAATATCAAAATATAGAGTGTTTGCTGAAAAGATATCCTGCCTTGCTTATACATTGAACTATTTTTAAGTATGTGTTCAGAGAAGTTGTGTAACATATAATATAGTAAATAAAGCACCCACAAAACAGGTGAGTGACATTATAAAGGTCTACTCTTTTAATAACTTACTACAATAAAGAAAGAACATATATAAAGTAATCACTTTATTCTTTGTGTGTCTTTTTAAGAGAAAACAGACATTTGTGATTAGACATTTGTGATTTCATGAGTTGTGTACAAGTCATTCTGGAATGAATGAACCTGATGCGGATCCAGATTTCGGCACTTTTTATTTGAAAGTACCAGCAAATTGAGTTTCCTTGGTCTTTAATTAATTTGTTTATTCAAAACATTGGTTTGAAGCTATTTAACCTGCAAAGCACTTATTTTGATTAAAATGAAACTGCTGTTCCTCACCCAGTTTTCTCATTCAAAACAGCTCATGTGCTTAGTGATATATATCTGGGGAAAAATATTCAGCATTGACGCAAACATAAAAGAGCACTTAAGAACTCAGAATTGTGTCTTAGAAGATCCAAGTCAAACACACCCTTTCAGTTCTTGTTGTGAATTACAGTCCAGGTTTCTACATACGTTCTAAACTACAGTGAGTTTTCCAGTCCTTTGACTAATACAAGATATATGGGACCAACCTCCCAGCACAAAAAGTGTATTAAAAATGTCATACTTAGTAATTAAATTATGGAATAAAAAAATAAAAATAATAATAATTTAAAAAGTATATTCACAGCAAGTGAGAAATTCCTGTTTTCATTTTCAATTCCTGTGTTGTACCTTACATGCTCAGTGAGGAACAGCTTTATAAAGATTTATAATCTCACTTTCAAAGGGGAGAGTGCACCAGGATTGGATATTATCTAAGCTTGGTATAGAGAGTAAAATGTTGCCCTGAAATCTCTCCTCCCCCCTAAAAAGAAGTGTGATAAAGTACTCTGTTCTTCATACTCCTGAAGTTGCTACAGCAAGCAGAAGCTGCTATTACGTAAAGATTAATTTCGATTTTGCCTTGTGGGCTCTTTTAACACAAAAACCAACTACAAATAACAGCAAAGAAATTTCCACACAAACAGATCCTCTGAACTGATCATCATATACTTCAGATCTTTCTTAATTAAGAATTTGACTGCAAACATGTTTAAACTGAACTGTGGAGAAACTACTATGTACTAAGAATATCTGCATGGGAGTTGTATTACTTTGAAAATGTTTCATAGCGTATCAGTTTAACCTTCCTGTATGGGCAAAGACTGAGTCTTTCAGAGAAATGTTGGCAACTACTAAGGTACAGAGGTAAAATTGCTTCTTACATTATTGCCCAATTACAACAAAATGAATTTTAATGATCTGCAGTTGTAAAAACCACTGGAGCATTGAAGGTATCATACAATCATCACCTAATTACTCACCTAACCAGTAAGAGACAGGAAGCAACCATGCACACAGTAACGAGGAAGGCCTTTTACTAATGACATGTAGTTATACCAGATTAAAATTCTGTGCACTGTTCTAGTATTATCCACAATTCAGAGTTATTGTTCTACTCACATTTTAGGATGTTCTGTAAGAAGACAACACAGCATCTTTCACCCTGAATAGCTGTAAATCTCCTGCATGTAATTTCTGTTCTTCTTGGGTATTCTCCTTCGCTGCCAGTCCTGGTACCATTGCTTCTATGGTAAAGTTTTCCAGCTGTAGAGAGCACAAGTAAAGATCCTTGGATTGGATGAATCTTTTCTATAATGTAAATGTGGTTCTATCAAACTAAGGAAAAAAAATATTGTTGGTTAGAGGACAACTTAAACTTAATAGCCCATTCCTGCTCGCAGCACAAGTTAGGGAAGAGGAACTGTAATTTCAGGAGTAACTTGCTGAGTCTGTCTAATGGCTATATCCTCAGGACTGAAGTTAATTCATTTTTTATTAAAAATTCCCAGAAGGGTAACACCAAAGGGGAAGTAATCCTTTCCAGTAAAGACACTACTGTACAGGTAAAGTAATTATTTTCTTATTTTGAGACTTAGTGGCTATTGCTTCTTAGTTCTACCCGAAGAACATCCTGTATTTGCACTGATTGGTATTTGTAGTTCCTGCTGACCATTGTTCTCCTTGCAAAGCTTTAGCAGGTTATTAAGAGTAAGCAAAGCACCATTAGTTGAGAAATTTAATTTTAAAAAGTAATGGAAAGCACCTTACCAAAATTTTGAATCTGTGCTATGAACTTGAGTGAGATAATAAAAAATAGGAAGAAGAAAAATAATGTGTAAAAAATTATTTTACATAAAGCTGCATAAAGAACTAATCATGCCGGATTACCATTGCAGCAGTACAGGATTTGTATATAGTAAACTAGAGGTTCAAATCCATGTGAGATTATTATTTATTCTTACATGTGACTAGACTTCTATAGACTTCTGCTTCCTTTGGAATGGAAATATTTATATTTATCTTGCAACACATTCAGGTTTTGATTCTTAGTAGTGAGTTATTCAGTAATATCTCTGATTCTCAATAACATTATGCAAATTTTTACTAGCTTGTGATCAAGCCATCAGCTTCTAGACAAATTGAATACCTTTAACTTATTGTTCTTCTAAATATTATATCACACACACACATACATACATATATTTCAAATTATTTTACTGGAGGAGAGCAGCTCTTATCCGTCATAATAAGAGAAGCTGTAGCATGACTGCTTCACAGTACAGGTATTATTTGTTTTCTAATACTCCTGTAGACCTTTACAGCAATGAAATATTCAACCTCATTCAAAGCTTACAAAATGTAAAATACTAACATTGGCAGTAAAATAAGGTCTTTATTTAAAAAAAAAAAAAAAAAAAAAAAAAAAAAGAGTACAATGAATGAAGGACGAATGGGCGCAGGAGCTGACAGACACATACACATCCATTTCCTAGAAAAACATATTTAAAGCCATTTCAGAGTATTTCCATGTGAGCAAGCTCTTACAATCTAAGCTACAGCATCAATAACAGTACTGTAACTCTCCTACACTAATGTGGGCACTCGTATTAGAAAAGGACTCATTTTTACTTCTTAAGCTTAATTCACTTTCAAAGAAGGCTAAAGCCAGTGGTCCTGGTTCAGGTTAAGATTTAAAGGTAATATCTTTTGCAGAGTATTTTCTTGCACCCGCCAGTTCTTAGTCAGCCATCTCTACCCATTTCCAAAACAGATTACTAGTCTTCTCTTTCATTTGAAAGTGGTTCAGAAGCCTAGCCTGCAAGCAGACATGTTATATGAATCAATGTGTGACCAAGTCTTAAGATTCATCTTTGTATTTTATGATCAATTAGCAAACAAGAAAAACAAACAGGAAGATCCTGTTTAGAAAAGCCTCACTTTGAAGGATTGACAAAAGCTACCTTGCTACAACCACTGCAACCAAATGACACTTTCTAGGACTGGCAGAACAGAGCAGCACACAGTATTCATAGGGGATTCCTTTGATCCCAAGAGTATCATTTACCTGTGTTACGGGTCATTTAATTATTTGTCTTCTCAGTCAATATCCTTTGATGTAACAAATTCAGGATGTCAGTGCTCTGGTATATGGAGAAGCGATTAATTCCACCAACAGTATCTTCAAGGATGACACTGCAATACAACACAGAAGAAAGAAAAAGTCACAAAACAGAAAAAGGTTAGACATAAATAGTGTATTTTTCTAATTCAGCTAAGAAACAAACTCAGACACTAGTCTGAGTGTGTTATTGAGTATGGGAGGGATAGCTATACAGTGTTCTTTGGCTTATGGCTTACATCTAAACCTTGTACTTACTATGTAAGTACAAATGTAATTTGCAGACGAAAGTTCATGGAACTACATATTTATATATTCTAAAGAAAGGTAATATTAAAAACATCAAAATTCACCTACATTTAAAATGAAAGAATTAAGGATGTATTCTCATTCATTTGCTAATAATCCTCATGAAGTACAGTGATATTGAAGCCATTCAACACCAAATCCACACACACACTCACACACACCTATATTGACACTGTCATTGTCTCTAACCTTACACACTGCACTTTTTGAGGTTGTAAAAGCAGACCAATTATAAAGCAAATATTATAAAGTAAATATTCTGTATAAATACATCATCTAAGATGCAAAACTAGCAATGGAAAATCAGTAAGTTTTAAACTGGTGATAAAACATATCTTTTTTTAAAATGAAATACTTAATTAAGAGAAGTTTCCAAGGAACACCATGTATTCCTCATTTTTGAAGTATCAAAATCAGGAGTGAAAGTCCACTAAAACGTATGTTGTAGTTACTTAAAAGGGTCCATATTACAAGTCTCACCTACTTTTTACGGCACAATTGTGGAGAACATTTAAGGTATGTAAAGTCTTTCATAAGGGCAAAATTAGTTATTAACAAAGTTCTTAAAACATGTCAGTATCAGATTTTGTTAGCTGTTTCAAATAATCCCTTAAGACTATTTTTTGAAACCTCAAGCAATATTAGGATTTGATAGAAACATTAACTTCTGTACCATGATGTTTCCAGTTCTACTTCCAAACCTGTGCTTTAGATTCTGTTACAACATGCCTTCCCATTCCAGGATAACACACACACTACCATGCAACTATGCTAATGAAGAAGAAAAATTCATTCCTGTTGGGTTTTGCTTATCGCTTTCTATAATGTACCTAGACTCCTTGCTACTTTCCAAATTTCTCTGAGGGTCATTCTTGACATGCCCTGAACTAGAAAGAAAAATGTCATCCTGAAATGTTCTCCTGAAAGAGAACCAGGCTGAGAGTACAAAGACTAAGTTCTAACTCAAAAGACTAACTCAAGATGTAGGTTACATCTACAGTAGCAAGTACTGCAGCCCAACAGAATTCTTGTAGAGCAAAACAGTTGGTGTTGAGAACACAACATCCACACAACTGGAGTGTTTCAGGAGTGTTTACAAAGGCTGGCTCTTACCAGTTCCTGTGTGTTGAATGCCCATTGACTTCATCATCTGTATTCAGCTCATAATCAGTCCAAAAAGAATCCACTTTACAATTTCTGATGCTGCCTCATGACATGAAGTAAACCACAAGAAATGGGAATGATTGGAATGTTTGCTTCAGAAGTGCACTCCTGATACAAAACTCAAGTTCAACAGCTGGACACTGTGATTTCATGACCGTATACTTAGTGTTGCTATGCAAATGGTTGAAGTTTAATACGCTTGTATGCTTAATTAAATTTAAGCCAAACTACTTGGCCCAAAAATTTGATGTTCTACTCTGTCTTGCATACTCTGACGCTACAGAATCAAACTCAGATTAGGCCTGGAAGAAGTCACGCTGAAAGACTAAAACTTTACTTGCATATTCCTTTTGGGCAAATATTATGGATTTAGATTTTAAGATTACTCTCTGATGCAAATTTCCTAATTTTTTCAACTATCCGTTGTCTTCTTCATGAGTTCTCTAATACAAAGTCATTTATTAGATTAAAAGGTATGATCACTTACTTCAACTGGGTGAAATGTTTTTTGTTTTTGTTTTTTATAAAAGCATGCAAAACTGACATTTTTTTTCTGGGTGAAAAGGTTTGTTGGTAAGAAATTGTCTTTATTTCTGTCTGTGTTTGCTCATTTTTATAATAGGATGATGACTTTAGTAAAGGTCATACTGTCATAATATTGCACACAAACAAAAAAAAGTACAGAAAGTTTTTAGCTTTGTGTCAAATAAATGTCCTTACCATCTTAATAATTTATCTTTCTTTTATGAGATGTACCATTTAGCTATCCATTACAATGGAAAATATGGAAATAGCATAGACTGTTAACAATTTACATTTGCATAAAATAATAGCTGAAATTATAATTGATAAAAATGTAGTGCTTCAACCATTGGGTCTACACCTCTGTGCTTTTTCTCAAGCAAAGCATTATTTGGAGTGAAATACTATGACTTGAGAACACTACAGAAGAGTAACTCAACTGCATACTGGCTGGTGATAGGGGTCTGAATAACTGCTCATGCAGACAGAACTACGCTGTGGAAGATTTTCATCTTGCCTGTCTCTAGATACCCTGGGAAAATGAGAAAATTAAGGACTTGTAGCACACAGTTCACCTGTGATCTCTGTTCATATCAGCACCAGTCAAGGCTTGATCTACAAGTTGATTTACCATATAGTCACCTAGAATGGTTGCTTTCATATGCACCTCCCTTATCTACCTGCTCTGGTCTGATAGATGGAGGAGGTCACGGCCCAGGGAGGAGATATTTGCACACTTTCCCTCACTCTTTTTCAATTCGTTCTTTTTTTTTTTTTTTTTTTTCAATTTTAATGAGAAACAGAAAGATGTTATTTATAGACCTGTTAAGAAAGATTAGCAGAATGGAATGGCAATAATACAGATACAAATTTTATGATGTTATTGCCTCAGGTCTAAAAATAAAAAAGTTCAATGCTAACAACACAGCATTCTGGTGTCTGATTTCAAGGACTGTGAAGGTAAGGAAAATATATTTACAAAATTATTTTTATATTTACAAAAGGGCTGTGATATGAATAGATGTTTTTGGGTACCCAATAATTTATTTTTTTTTTTTAACTACTATTATTTTACTTTATCAATTTATTAAGCCATGTAAGAAATCATAATAAACCACAAAGCAGGCAGGCTACCTCCCTCCTGTCTCCACCCTACAAAGTTTAACCAGCACAGTACATAGAAAGTATGGATGCAAACTTTTTAAAGTTTTGAGAATGACTGTGAATGGTTTGACATGCAGTAAACCTATTTTGTGACAGAATCTAAGAGAAAACATTATGTCTAATGTAGTATAATCTTTTTATGACATTATATATGAACATAAGATTGATTTTCTCCTCTGCATTTATTCAGCTGGGCCTTTTATTGGGTTCCTGGGTCTTGTAGAAAAGGCTACAGTGTGAAGAGTAAATACCTAAGGTTTGAGTGCATGTGTTACAAGCAGCATAAAAGCTTTTATCACAAGTTTTGAACTCTCTTTTTTTCAGACACTATTTAACACCCTATTAATCAACAAGAATAGAACTAGCAGTTCAAATACCACATATAAAAAGCAGAATAGCAAAAAAACAGAAAGCTTTGTAATGCTCAGATGGCAACAGAATCTCAGGCTTCAGTTTGAAACACCACTGGTATATTCAGCATCAACTGACAGTTTAATTAAGCTTTTAGAAAACAGCCTAAAAGATAGCACAAAAATGTAGTTCCACAGGGGATAGGATGGTGACTTTAGCAATTAACTTGTTCTGCAGTAGCTGGAAAGAGAAGAAAACAGGAGAGTAGATATTATGAAGTAGGACAAAGCAACCATTTTGGTCATATTTTCTGCCTTATTATTGAAGACTAGGAGCAAAGTAAAAAGGCAATTTTCACACCCAACATTCTGTGCTTGGTATTAAGACTACTACTGAAGAAAGATCTCAGATTGAATGATCACGTTAATGTCAACGGTAACACAAAAATCTGCAGAAACACCTTCTCAACTACGCCTAATTAATGTTTAAAACCTGAGCTAATAAATGTTCTGAATGGAAAGTCCATCTTCTGCAATGTGCAATCACTGCACATGTGGTGGTGAACACTCCTATGAATTTATTGCACTTCTGAGGCTTCAGCAAGCATTTTATATTATTAGTCATAGTTCCTGTGTCATTAGTTTTCCATTGTCTAAATGTAGATAATAAAAATACTATTCTTTTGGAGGAAAACATACTGACTCCCTACTCCGCATAGAGGAAGCAATCAACAAGGATGCATTTCATTTAACATTTAGTAATATTTCTAATATTTCTGGAGCTGATAGAGTGGGTTTTGCTGTTTTATGTATTTAGTAAAAATATCTATCCTACATTAGAATAACCCTTATGAATTTTTGGATAATTTTCTCAGCCTTTCATTACTACTCCATTTTTGTGATTGTATTTTATTAGAACACTGTAGTAAAAAGTATGGATTTTTTTGCCATTCTTTTAAGTACTGTAAGCAAGCTTTATCAGTTTAGCATTATTAGGTATAGCTTGAATGATAGCATCGGTTAATACTATGTCTTCTTTCTAAAAATCCAAATTGATAGTGCAAGTTAATGTAAAGTAATGTATTTTTGTGTATGAAAAAGTCATGAGCCATGCAGTTGTTATATCCTTCAATATTGTGTTTATTAAGATGTCTCAAACTGTTATAAATTACATCTGTTTTATTTATGGTTTTCAACAAAATTTGCTAATATTTAAGTAACTATCATTCAGTAAGCAGTTGTTTCATTTAAGCTTATTTTTGAGTTTGAGCACTTTTTGGTGAAGATTTAAAGGCAAAAAGTCAGGGACTGACCTAACTTCAAAACAAAACCATCAAAAGTTAGCTCCTCCTCAGCATTCTTCAAACTTCCCTCGTTCACAATAATTATAACACTGCTCATCATTGAATGATAGCACATGACCTTGAAGAATGAACACTGAATTAAATTGAAATATCTGCATAGCTAGATGCCAACACTGGCACAAACTCTGAGATTTGTTTCTAATTCTCTTTTCAAGACCCTGAAGCTGAGCTACTGGAGATAGTAAAAGAGTAGTATATAGT